CCAGAAAAAAAAAAAGGCCCGGCGCAGCCTGAGTAGAGGCCCCTTCCTACTCTGCGGGAAGTGGTCCATAGGGTTGTCGGCCTCCCTGGGGGCATGAGTACCCAGTGGGACCTGATGATGGCCTCAGACTGGTGGTGAGGTCGAAACCGGTAGGGACGATCGCCAGGAGGGCCTTGTGTTACGACTTCTTTTTCAAGAAAGGCCTCTTTTCTGATTATCTCGTGTCGATCTCTTTGCTATCCTCACCACCTCCATCTGTGCTCTCTTCTCTCTCTCTCTCTCTCTCTCTCTCTCTCTCTCTCTCTCTCTCTCTCTCATCTATCATTTTCTACTATTTTCCACTGCTTCTCTTCTCTCTCTTCTCTGTGTTTTGCTGCTCTCACATGGTCGACGTCTGCGTGCTATCGACTCTTCTTCTTCTTCTTCTTCTTTTTTTTTTTTTTTTTTTTTTTTTTTTTTTTTTTTTTTTTTTTTTTTTTTTTAAATGCTGCTGTTATGATTGGGAACGACTCTGTTGATGACATCTTGTGTGTGAAAGGATAGACTCTGTTTGCTACGGTCAGTGTCGGGGGTCATACTCTGATGCAATGAGAACCACAGTGCTTCGCGCTCTTGGTGTTCTCCACTCGACGCGATCCCCGGGTGCATGTGTACCCAGTGGGACCTTATCCCAGAGAAGTTGGGCTTGCAAATAATTTTGAGAATTCCTTCTTTTCAAAAAAAAAAAAAAGGGAAAAAAGGGAAAAAAAGGGGAAAGGCTCCTTCCTGTTCACAGGAAGTGGGTAGGGTTCCCGGCCCGCCTGGGTGCGTGTGGTACCCCCCACCTCAGCTAAAGAAACCCAAAAAAATACTGCAGCTGTGCGGTTGCTATACACAGCAACAAGATTTAATTTAGTCATATGGCGCTGAGCTGCTAATGTTTTCTTGGGGCCTGAAATAACGTGCGCCACAGCTTCGATCAAGATACTCCTCCGCGTGTGCTCGTTACTCCGCGTGTGCTCGTTCCAAACCTCCTAATAGTATTTGCTTAGATCTATGGTTCTATAAAAAAAAAAAAAAAAAAAAAAAAAAAAAAGGGGTCTATGCTGAGTGCTATACCTCGAATTAGGGTTTCCGGCTGCACGGCTTCCCTATCCTGCCATCTTTCCCGAACTGGACACGTTCTACGTCTGTGGCTGTCATCTACGCCTACTCTCTGGTTGGTTGAGCGTCCACAGCAGTTGCATGAAGCTTCGGAGCCAATTCACAGAGAGAGAGAGAGAGAGCAGATCAGTCTTTATCTTCTGAAATACAGGATGCTTCGAAGAAACAAGGATTTGCTAGAAAAAAAAGAGACGATCTTTCTGTTGTCTGAAGCCTAAACTATTGTCTATCCGCCCTCCTATCTAATTTGTACCCTTCTACTTGTCACAGAAAGAGCCTATAGCTCAGCTGGTACACCCCTGAACTGGTGAAATGCAGACCGGAGTTCGAATCCAGATGCAATCAAAATAATTCTAAAAGTGCTTGGCGATTTAATCCTAACCTATTAAAAAAAAAAAAAAAAAAAAAAAAAAAAGATTTGATCCTAACCTGAAGTAGGCCGAGTCTGTGATGGACTTGGGGCGTTGCCGCACCTGACATGAAACGAAAAACGAAACGAGTGCATCTTCCTGCAGAAAATGGCCAGGTTCATCGGTTTGCTATAAATAGGAACGAGTGTATTTTGCCACCTTTCGTGGGCAGATGCACTTGTTTCGTTTTCGCGGCGAGACCCTTGGGGTTGTGTGGCTGTGTGGCTAGCACACTACGTGCACTATGTACCGGGCAGCTGCATAGTGTGCTGGGCCCGTATTATGTACCGGACAGGTACATAAAGTGTGCCATACACACAGGGACAGTTCTCTCACTGAGATAACTGCCAGGCATAGTATGCTGGGCCCAACATAGTATGCTGGGCCCATACTATGTACTTTTTGGCAGGTACATAGTGTCATTGGATGAGTACCTCGGGGCCTCAGCCCTCCTCCGTGCAAGCACGGACTCAAACCGGCGACATCGGCCTCAAGAGCCAAGTATAGTAACCACTACAGCCAAGACATGGTGTTCAAAACCGGAACGATACCGGCCGTGATATCCGCCCCACCTCTGCAAGGCTGTAGCGTCCCCACTCAACGCACACCACACACAACACCACACAGACACTGGCAATCACCGCAAGCTTCGCTCCAAGTACCACACTTATGCGGGACCCCAATCGGTAGTATAGCCCCCTCACTTATGCGGGACTTGAACTGCCTGCCAGTTCACGGGAGCTTTGTGCCAGACACAGGGGCAGTTATCTCACTGAGCCATAGTGCGCTGGGCCCAACCTAGTATGTTGGGCCCGTACTAGTGCGCTGGCCCCAACCTAGTATGCTGGGCCCGTACTATGTATTTCACAGGTACATAGTGTGCCAGATACAGGGACAGCTGACACACTGAGATAACTGCCAGGCATAGTGTGCTGGGTCCGACATACTATGCTGGGCCCGTACTATGTGGCAGATACAGGGACAGCTGTCTCACGGAGATAACTGCCAGGCATAGTGTGCTGGGCCCGACATAGTATGCTGGGCCCGTACTTTGTACTTGGCAGGTACATAGTGTGCCAGACACAGGGACATTACCAGGCGTAGTGTGCTGGGCCCGACATAGTATGCTGGGGCCGAACGATGTATTTCGCAGGTACATAGTGTGCCAGACACAGGGACACTACCAGGCATAGTGTGCTGGGCCCGACATAGTATGCTGGGCCCGTACTATGTATTTGGCAGGTACATAGTGTGCCATACACAGGGACAATTATCTCACTAACGTAACTGTCAGGCATAGTGTGCTGGGCCCGTACTATTTACCTGGCAGGTACATAGTGCGCCAGACACAGGGACACTGCGCGCTGGGCCCGACCTAGTATGCTGGGCCCGTACTATGTATTTGGCAGCTACATGGGCCATACACAGGGACAGTTATCTCACTGAGATGACTGCCAGGCATAGTGTGCTGGGCCCGTACTATGTATTTGGCAGGTACATAGTGTGCCAGACACAGGGACACTACCAGACAGTGTGTGCTGGGCCCGACATAGTATGCTGGGTCCGACAAAGTATGCTGGGTCCATACTATGTATTGGGCAGGTACATAGTGTGCCATACACACATGGACAGTTATCTCATTGAGATAACTGACAAGTACATACTGTGTTGGGCCCGACATAGTGTGCTGGGGCCGTACTATGTATGTGGCAGGTACATAGTGTGCCAGACACAGGGACACTACCAGGCGTAGTGTGCTGGACCCGAAATAATATGCTGGGCCCGACGTAGTATGCTGGGCCCGACGTAGTATGCTGGGCCTGTACTATGTATTTGGCGGGTACATAGTGTGCTATACACACAGGGACAGTTATCTCACTGAGATAGCTGCCAAGTACATACTGTGCCTGGCCAACAAAAGAAGCGAATAAACAAAAAGAAGAGAGCCAAGACCACATACGTTTGGGGCAGATTCCAAAGGACATGCTGTGTGTGCCCTGCTTGGTCTGTCTTCCACTTAGCACAACATTTTCTTTCCTTCTTCTCGTTTCATTCATGATGATTTTCTTGCAATTCGTCCGGATTCTTCCTGGACAAAAGAGGAGAGAACTGGTTTATATATATATATCGTCACAAATAGAACTGCCGACGGTAAACCGTAGGCAGAGAGGGAGAAGAGGACAACAAACGAGGGGCTGTGACAAACTGTTTCGTCGGAGTTTCACCGACTCATCAGGAGGCTGAACCCTCAACAGTCTGTAGAATCCCCTCACTGATT